CCCAGTGACCCTCATCCCAGATGTTCCAGCTGAGCATGTGCCAGAGCACTGTCTTCCCTGGACTCTTGCCTGGCTTGTGATAGGTGTTCTTCCCCCTCAGAGCCATGATGTACTCGGGAGAGCTGAAATTTGAGAAGAGGACAACGTCTGCTCAGGTTGAAGGAGGGGTGCACGGCCTCCACTCGTAAGTGCTTCTGGCAGGATCCTTGTCACCCTGGGGGGGTGTTGGTGAGGAACAGCCACTCCGTACCTCAGCTGCCATGCCCTAGGCTTGGTGTGACATTCATAGGCTTGCCCTGGCACCACACAGCTGAGCCAAGCCATGGGCTTTCAGGGTGCTGAGGGTTCCCCTCCCTGGGCTGGCAGGATCTGTTCCATACTGCACCTTTGTCCCTGCTCTGAGTGAGGTGGGTCAGTAAAGGGGCTCCCTGGTGCTGTTTCCCTTGCAGGTATGAGAAGCGCCTCTTCTGAGAGATCTGTGTCTGTCCTTGTGCCACTCAGCCCTGCGCCGCTCCGCGCGGGAGCTGCTCTTGCCGCAGAAGTGCCATTATTCTGGGCTGCCTGGAGCTCCTGCTGTCCCTTGGCTGCTTTCTGACCACCCGCGGGGCCCGCCTTCCACCCAGGAGCCACGATCCTGGGCTGGAGCCTTGCACGTGTTGGCCATGTTTTACAATAAAAAAATGAAAATATGTGCAGTTGGTGTCAGCCGGGAGCCCCTCTTCCTTATTTACCTCCCTTGCTTTCTGTCCTTGGCTCTGTGCCTTGTTTCCCACACTGTCAGAGGCAGCTGATAATCCCAGAAGGAACTGTGTCCATGTGAAGGGCAACAGGGAGGGGAGAGCCCTGAGACAGGGCTGAGTGGGTAACACAGTGTGGCTTCTTTAAAAATCCTTCCTGAGAGCAGAAAACAAGGGCTGGACTGCTGGGTAAGAAAGTGAATGGTTTTACATTGCCATTATCTCCTGCTGCGAGCTGCCAAACCCAGCTGTGGCAGCAGCCAGGATGCTGCAGGGCCCCATTCCTGGTCCAACCGCTGCAATCTTCCCCTAAACCTCTTGTAGTTGCCACACCTCCAGGCTCAGTGGCTGCACCCCTTTGGGCTGTTCACTGTGGATTACCTGCCCAGGCTCCAACAGAGCAATTGTTTGCAGGAAGGTGGGCAATGCATTGAGAGGGGCACCAGTTTATAAAGGAGCTGGTCTGCATTTCTGCAGGCCTGAGCAGTGCAAACTTCCCTGGCTTGGCAAGTTTATCTGTGCTTGCAATGCCAGGAGCCCAGAAGTATTTCACACCTGTATCAGTTGTACCTGTCCCACACATTACTCCTGCTGAAGTGTGTGTTTACCATCAGTGGTTTGGGGATGTCAAATTTGATATATACACTAAAACCAGAGCCTTGACTATAATGTCATGGTGTTGATATCACACACTCATGAAGACACTTGCTAAGCAAAGCCACCCTCACCTTGCAGCTGCATCCCCTGCCTTTGCCTGCCAAAGTGGCAGAGTTCAGGCCATGAGGCTGACATTAGGTACATGTACTCTCTTCCCCCGGGATGACATCCCCAATTATGAACCATCCAGTTCAGGACAGGGACCCTTTCCAAGTCCCCTGCTGGAGTTTGAGCCTTCAGTGAAAGGGGGTGCAGCACCCTTGGACCAACACTGCCCAAGGGACATGTGTGCTGGGGCAGTACACAGCTCCACTGGAGAGCCCAAGCCAGGCCAGCACCAGCTGGGACACACTAGTTGCTGGTGCTGGCTGTGCTCAGGAAGCTGCTGGCACATAGCATCCCACCACCACATGTGCTGCCCAGTGCCCAAGGTGAGCACATGTCCCATCAATTTGTTACAGCCTCAATGTGCAGTGCATTAACCACCACACAATTTCTTGTACTTCCTATTTACATGTATTTTCCTCCAGGGGATGTACAGCTCACCCCACTAGCCTTCATCCTCCCTCAGGTGAGGATTCTTGCCAAGGTGTGGGGCATGACCTTGGCAGGGCTGTGGGAGCAGTGCTGCCAGCAAAGCCTTGTGCTGTGCCCCACAGTCTGCAGCTCAGACTGGCAGGGAGGCCAAGAAGCCAGGGACTGCAGGAAAGAGCTAAGCCCGTGTATTTCACAGCCCTCCTGTGTGCAGAGCCATCAGTTCACTACGGAGCGTTTCTCAGTTGGGAGCAGTGACCCTCGTGGGCTTCAGGCAGGCAGGGGAAGAACCACTCAGCCCATGGGCATGGCCTGCAGTGCCTACACCCCGTAGGTGCCCCGCGGGGGGATGAGCCCAGCAGCCACCACACGCCTTTCATTCATTAGGAAGTTGAAGGTTGCACATGCATTCGCCTGTGAATAGAAAAGGGAGTGAGTGAAGCTCCGGCGGCCCTTCCCCACACGGCACATGACCCCTCCCTTTCAATGGGGTGCTGCCTGTGCTCACCCTTACCGTGTCCTGCACCTCCACAGCAATCCCGCACTCCCGCATCTGCTTCAGCATGGCGGGATGGAGCCGCTCCACCCTGTCCCCTGTGCCCAGCACCAGGATCTCTGCAAGCAGGGCAAGAGAAGGGTGGGCAGGGCAGCACTGGAGCTGCCTCGGCCCACACCTGTCCCTGCTGCAGGCACCGATGGCTCCCGCACAGCCACCTCGACAGGAGCCCGAAGGGGCAGCCCGCGCCCCGCGTACCGATCTGGGGCTCCAGCAGCCGGAACAGCGACAGACTCTCGTGCGAGATGTCCCGGTGGGAGCCAACCTGCGGGGACACGGCGGGCGCTCAGGGGAGCCGCCCCGGCTGCGGGGCGACCGGCAGCGCCCGCCCCGCCGCCCGGTACTCACGTTCCACTGGAGGATGCTGCGGGGCAGCACGGCGCAGGGCCCCACCACCAAGTCTCCGCTGATGGTGAAGCCGCGGGTGCTGTAGCCCTCGATGAACATGATGTTGGGGGACTCCGGCTCCAGCACCATCACCCGCGTCCGCTGGTATAGCTCATCATCCGCCGGAGTGAGTCGGTGACCCCGGCACGGCGCTCTGCGGGGAGAGTGAGCAGCTGGGACACGTGGGGTCCACGGACACCTCCCGAACACCCTACGGCATCCTACAGGCGCCTCCCGCGGTCGCAGGGCGGCCCGGTGCGGTCGCAGGGCAGCCCGGTGCCGGTACCTGGCCGCCGCCCGCCCGACCGCCGGCACCAGCCGCCGCAGCGCCGCCATGGCCGCGGCCCCGCCGGAACCGCCGCGCGGCCCCGCCCCCGCCGCTACCGCCCCCCGGCGGCCGGGGTCGGGACAGCGCCACCGGGGGAGCGGGACCGGACCGGGACTCCCGGGGAGCCCTCGGGGTGCCCCGCCCGGGGTCCTGAGGGACGGGAGGGCAGCGACACTCACACACCCGCTGCCTCCGCGCCCGGGCGCGTCCGACCCGCAGAGCCCAGGTGGGCGCCGGAGCGAAACTGAAAGCGGCCGGTGGCAGGGCGGGAGCGGCACGGCGGGAGCGGGGTGTCCCGCTGGAGCCTCCCCGACTCCGCCGCCCCGACCCCGCCGCCGGGAGGGGCTGTGGACCGGCCCGGGCTGCTATGCCGAAGGCTGCGGGGCCGGAGGTGAGAGGGGAGCGGGCGGCTCCCCGGGAGGGAGGGAGCGGGCCCGGGTCTCGGCTGCGCTCCTGGCCCGGCCCCGCCGGTGCCCCGGGGCTGCCTCAGGCTCGGCACGGCGCCCCAGTTCCCCGTGTGCCCCACTGCGGGCGGCTGTTGCCAGTCGGGGCTGAACCCCCGGAGCTACCGCCGGAACCTCCAGCTGCACCCTCAGCCCTCCTCCTGCCGCGTTCGGTGAGGCCGGTGGCACTGCGGGCTCAGAGTGCCCTGGGACAGGGGACCCGCGTCCCCCACCTGTGTCACCCCCCCGGGGCCAGCCGTAGCCTGACATTGCGGGGGCCACCAGGAAGCTCCCCAGCAGTGGCGGCGGAGCATTTCCCGCCACCGTGCCGTGCTGGAGGCATCAGGAATTCCCACAGCCGGCAGCCTTGGCCAGCGCAGGGTCCCAGGGATCCCCGGGCAACACCGCGGAGCTCCCCACGGGGCCGGTGGGGTTCCCCACGCGGTTTGAATTCCCCCATGGTGTTGCCGAGGGCTCCTCGCCGGGGCGGAGGGCTGGAGGCGCCGGCAGCGGCGGGGCCGGCCCGGGCCGTGCCGCCTCTGGGCGCAGGTGCCGGGGCAGGTGCCCTCCCTCGGGGCCGGCTCGTGTTTCCGGGCTCCGTCGGGGGCTGATGGGCTGGCACCAGTTGCTCCAGCCCCACCGGGGCTTTGTTCGGAGCCGTTTCCTTTTGGCTCGGCTGTGCCGCCCTCCCATTGGCACCCGGCCCGCGGCGCGGGGGGAGCCGGCAGCACAACCCCGGTCTCTGCCGGCACCCCCGATCACAACGGCCCGGCAGTGGCTCCCACGCATCTCCTCCGGCCCGCTCCCCGCCGGTAAGTCGCCCTCTCCCCTCCTGGCCCACCGACTGCCCCAGGGTCGGGGTGGCATGGCCGTGGTGCCTGTGCCCATCGCTCCGCGGCGCCAGCGCGGGCAACGGAATCCCAAAAGCAGCTGTCCCCGCTGTGCCCAGCTGCGCTGGGGTTTCGTTACCCGCGCTCCCGCCACCGCCTCGCCCCACACGCCCCCACCCCTACCCACCACCGAGCCTCTGTCCCACTGCAACCCCTCCCGGGGCTGAGGCAGCGCCTGGGGCCACACTGGAAGAAGGGTGGTGTCAGGATGGAGGATCACCGGTGTCCAGCCTCGTGGCTCAGCCCCTGCACCGAGCTAGGAGGCTCTTATTTCATATGCCCCAAACAGCTAAAAATAGCATCTGGCTTCCTGGGAGAGTATGGGGAGCATGGCTCCCTGGCCACAGGGTGGATGTGGTCCCCTGCACCACGCTGGTGCAGGCTATGTGGTACTGCCAAACTTCCTGCCCATGCCGGCCCTCGCAGCACCGCAGTGCCTGCAGGGGTGGGCAGGATCCAGCCCCTGGAGAGAGATGGCTTTGGAATGACACGATCACTCCCGCTGAGCCAGCAGCCAGAGAGCCATCGGGGATGTCGTGTCTTTCCAAAGCTCTTTCGGCGCCTCCGAGAGCCCTCCCCAGACCACTGCGCTGCCAGGGCCCACGTGGGCAGCCTGCAGGGACGCTCTGGGGATGTGGACAGATCCAGCCTGGACCCACCTTGAGTAGTGACAAAAGGTGCAGCATGTCCCTCTGGCCAGGCAGGGGTTCTGGGCAGCTCCTGCCCTGCGGACAGTCAGCAGTTGGTCTGGTGTGAGCAGCAATTCTCAGATCACCTCTTGGCTGTGGGTGGTGCAGGGAGCACCCCACCATGGCATGGCTGGGGGACATGTTCTCACTCCAGCCCTGGGGCTGCAGATTCTCACTGGCTGTGGGCTGCAGCCCTGGGGCTCCACAGCTCCCTGAGGAGCCCCAAAGCCAGTTGTTGCATTCCTGGAAGAGCCCATGCAGCAGGATCTGCCCTCGCCCTGCTCCCCCCCCCCTTTTCCCCCATGCACACAAGCCCTGGAGGAACCGGTTTGGGCCCTGCGGGCAGAGCTCCTTCCTTCCCCCCCCCCCATCTGCCTTAACGGGGAGGGCAGGAAGGGCACGGTAGAAAGGGATGTCCCTAGCTCCGTGTTGTGGTGGGGTTTGGTGCTTCCTGCTCCCTGTCAATCAGGCTTGGTGCCCTGGGGCTGGGGGTGTGCTGGGCCCTTGCCCTGTCCCCAGTTCAGCAGCCACTGGCGCACTTGTCAGGGAACTGGCCAGCAGTGTGAGCTTTCTGTCAGATCCGTGCTCGAACCATCGCTGTGGAGCAGCTCAGCTCTGCAGATGTAATCAAGACCACGATGGCGTGATCTAATCGCTTCCACTTCCTTCTTCCTAGGGCTGATAAGCGGGACACTGCTCATGTGCTGGACAGGAGAGCAGCCCACTGGGGCAGGCATGGAGAACATTGCAGGGTGTGCACCCGCAGCTGCTCATCGCCGTGCCGGGCAGAGCCCATGCCAGGCACATGGCTGCTGCTGCTGTTCCTCAGCCGTTGTGTCCGAGTCCAGCCAAGCCCTGGGGCTCATGGTGGACAGGCTGGACTGGCCAGTCAGGGTCTGCCAAGTGACACCATGCTCACAGCTGTGCTCTGCCTCACACACTCCAGCCCATCCAAAGCTCCCTTCCCACCACAGATCAGGGTGGTGGGCCATGCCCACGGCTGCGCTGCACTGCCTGCCCCGGGCAGCCCGGTTCTGCCCAGTCCTCCCTGACCCCGGCACAGCCTCTGGCTCCTGCTCTGCTCCTGAGGGTTTTAGGTCTGCGCTCCCCAGTTTTGGGGAAGAGGGGATACCACTCCTGCACACCTGAGGATGACACCATGGCCCCGCTGGGTGAGGCTGAGCGGACTGACACCCTCTGGGGCCATGCGGGGTGCCTGTTTGCAGCCCTGTGGCGCTGCCCTGACACACCCGCCATGGCGGCGCCGCTGCCCGCCACACCCACCATGGTGGCTCCGCGCCGTCCCCCAAGATGGCCGCCCTGCCCGGCCGCGCGCCCGTGACCAAGATGGCCGCCGGGGAGCGCCGCGCGCCGCGCGCAACATGGCGGCCTCCTGGGCGAGTCGGGACGTCACCTCCGGTGCCGCGATGGGCGAAGAGATGGCCGAGGGCCACCCGGGGGTGGCGGCGACGCTGCGGGCGCTGAACGGGGCCCTGGGGCGGCCCGCCGCGCTCTGGGTGAAGGAGAGCGGCGCCCGCAACCTGCGCCACCGGGATTTCCTGGCGCCGCGGGCCGCGCTGAGCGCCGCCTTTCCCGGCGGGCAGGTAGGCCGCGGCGGCGCGGGCAGGGCTGGCTCGGGAGCGGGGATTTGCGGGAGCTCTTGGATGGGGCCGGGGATGCCTCTGCCCTGTGCCCGTGCAGCCCGGACCCCTCCCCGCCCTCCGCCCGCAGGTGCCCCCCGAGGCCGTGTCGGCGGTGCTGTCGCTGCGGGGCCCGGCGGTGCTGCCGCTGCGGGTGTGCCGGCAGACGCCGGCGGGGCTGGCGGTGCAGGTGCGGCGCCCCGAGGCCTTCCAGCGCCTGCTGGGGCCGCTGCCCGGCCCGGCCCCTCCCGCGGCGGGGGCGCGGGCGGGCTGCGTGGTGCTGCACTGCCCGGCCCTGCGCGGCCCCGGCGCCCCGCGGCCCCGCCACCTGCGCTCCGTCCTGCTGGCCGACCACCTGGCCCAGCTGCTGCGCGCCCAGGGGTGAGTGCCCGATCCCGCCTGCTCCCGGCCTTCCCGGCCCCTCGCCGCAGCGCCCGCCGCTACCAGCGCCTGCCTCGCCCTCTCTCACAGGGTCCACGTCCGCCTGGTCCCTGCGCTCAGCGAGGAGGCGAGCTGGGACGTCCTGCGGCAACTCCGCATCTCCTGGCCCTCCGGCTCCGCTGGCTCGTCCCTCACTGATGCCATCTCGGCCTTGAAGGCGGTGCTGGGCCGGTGCCCCTGTGCCGCAGCCTGTGAGCAGGGGCCGGGCACAGCCGAGGGTGTCATCTGTAAGGTGCACCTGAAGAGCTTCGTGGAGCAGCAGGGCTTGTTGGGCTACGACCCCAATCTAGATGTGCTTCTCGGTGAGCTTCGCATGTACAACAGCTCGGGTGTGGCAGTGGGGGTAGAATGGGTGCAAATAGGCCTGTTTCCTTTCAGGTGTTTTTTAAAAAAATAAGGTGGGGTGGTGGATACAAATGGCTTTCACTTCTTGTTCCCCTTCAGTCTGGTTTGAGCCTGGGGCAGACCCAGTAGTGGGGGGTGGAGAACCCCATGTCCCATTTTGTGTCCCTCCTCATTTTAGTGACAGAGAGGACACTGCGGTCCTTGGCTGAGCTGCAGGAAGCTGTTCTGCAGTGCCCAGTAAGTGACCCCACAGCACTGCTTGCCTCTCGATTCCCAAGTGTCCTTCCCTTCTGCTAGGCAATAGGTTTGAGCTCCTTCTTGTGCTCTGCTGCAGGCCAAAGGCCAGAGCAGTTGCTGCAGCATTGTGCACGTGGTGAACTGTGAGGAGGAATTCCAGCAGCAGCAGCTGGATGTGCTCTGGAGGATTTTGGATCAAGGAGCCCACACAGCTTTGCAGGTGGGCAAGAGCAACCTCTGATCCTTCTCAGTGTGGCCCCCAGCATCCATCCTTGGCTCATGACTAGATTTAGAACAGGGCTGGATTTCACTCAGTTCCCAGCCTCAGCCTCTCTGTCTTTCAGAAACACCTTGTCTGTGGGCCAGTGAAGGTGACCAACCCCTCATCACCCATTGGGGCAGACCAGTACTTCCAGTAAGCTGGTGTGCAAGGCACCTGCTGCTTTCTCTCCTGCTAAGGCTCCCTGTGGGCCAGCTCAGCCCACAGCAGGTGGCTCTGTCTTTCACCCAGGCTCCGGAAGCACCAGATGTATGAAGCCTCCGTGATAAAGTATGGGGAGCTTGCACAAGGTGAGAGCTGGGGCCCCATGCATGGATGCTGCTCCATCCCACTTCATTGCTCCCATGAGTCCACAGGCAGGGGGGCTGCACCTGCAGGGTGCTCCTTCTCCCCTCCAGGATCAAGCCAGGTGTTGCCCTTGCTTTGGGAAGGCATCAGAACATCCAGGGCACTGGCACAGAGCAACTCCTGATGGGAGCCAGGGCCAGCGGTGTGGTGGTCCTCAACCACTACCTGGTCCTGGCAGGGGTGTCCTGCCTGGGTGCTAGGGATATCAGTACATGGGAATGGAGCAAGCTGTGCATGATGGCACCTACATTCTCCACAGACGAGGCCTGGACAGAGGTGATTGATACCCTGACAGTGGCTGCCATCAGGTTTGAGATGCTGAGCACTGCTCACCGGAGTCAGGTAGGACAGCGGCTTGCATGGAGCCAGGGCTGGCAGGCTGTGAGAAGAGCGGAGTGGATCTGTGCTGAGCAGCCTGGACTGTGACTTCTCCCTGCCCTCAGATCACCCTGGACCTGGAGAACAACAGCATCTCCACAAAGGGAACAAAGAGTGGTGCCTTTGTGATGTACAACTGTGCACGACTGGCCACGCTCTTCAACACCTTCCAGCGGGCTGTGGAGCGGGGTGAGCACCAGCCCCACCACCCTCCCCCTACAGCCACTGCTGGAGCCACAGGGGCTTCTCTGGGCACAACAGTCTCCCTGCTTTCCAGGCACATACCCACCTCTGCCACCAGTGTCTGAACTGAACTTCTCCTGCCTCCGAGAAGAGGTGAGTGCTGAGATGAGGAATGGGGGGACCTGTGCATCCTCAGCTCTGGTAATGGATGCTACTGACCCAGGAGGACCTGACACTTTGACATGTAATGCCTTCACAGGGTGAATGGCTCCTGCTCTTCAACTATCTCCTGCCCTTCCCTGAAGTCCTGCAGCAGGCAGCACAGCTGCCCATGTCCTCCAAGGGGATCCGGATCACTGCCAACACAGAGGCAGTAAGTGCCATGTGCCATAGCATCCATGGATGCTGCTCCAGCAGTCCCAGCCCAGGGCAAAGCTCCGTGCCAGCAGGTGCTGCCTGCCCATCAGTGAGCAACACAGGGACAGTGCTGAGAGAATAGATGGCAATGCCCATGGGGCAGTTCCTGATGTGCCTGGGGTGGGCGAGGGCACAAGACCAGCCAGAATTCACTGTGCCCTGAGAATGTCTCTGCCTTGTAGGTGTGCAAGTTCCTGATCCAGCTCAGCATGGATTTCAGTTCCTACTACAACCGGGTGCACATCCTTGGGGTGAGTTAGGTGTCCCAGCCTACAGCCTTGTGGCCCTGCAGTCCTTTTGGGGCTGCAGTGCTCTTGGGGGGAATGGTGCCAGGAGTGTGATGGTCCCCTGTCCCATCCTCCAGTGATGCACAGGCAGCAGCCTTGTAGAGGGGCAGTTTGGCCACCAGTCCCAAGCTGCCTTTCTCCCTGCAGGAGCCGGTCCCTCATCTCTTTGACCAGATGTTTGCTCGCCTCCAGCTGCTGGGAGCAGTGAGGGATGTGTTCCACAGCGCACTGGCAACCCTACACCTCCCTCCCCTCAGCCAGATCTAAGCCACCCCTGAAGAGCTGTACCATGGTGTGACAGTCACCTACACACCACACGTTGCGGGGGCAGAACAGGGGACACTGTCCTGGCCAGACAGGGGCTGCTCTGGTGGCAGGCAAGGCACAATTCAGCCCCATGGAGGTGCTTCCCTTCCCATGGTCCATGGTGTTTGGGGATTGGTCTGTGCTCTGTGTAGCTGTGTCCAGTGTGGGACATGGATAGCTCTTCACATCCACACCAGCAGAAGGGAGAAGGGCTCCTGTGGCACCCCAGAAGCTGAGCTGGGAGTGCTGGGGAAGTGGCAGCAGGGACCAGTCACCACAAAGACAAATGCCAACTTCACTTCTCTCAAAACTTTATTGAAAGGTGCTCCGTGCTGGCAGGGAGCTCCTGAGGCTCCAGACTCCTGCTGGGCTCTGAGCCAGGCCCCAGTACTGGGGTCCAATACACTTGTTGCTGGACAAACCCTCTATGTGTCTGACCTCAGGGTTGTTTGTCCTTCCTTCCTTCCTTCCTTCCTTTGGTCTGACTATCCTGGGTCTGCTGCTATGCAGGAAAAACCCACTTGGCCTGAGGGGGGTGGTATTTGTGGGCAGCCCAGCAACACCCCCATGCCACAGAGTGCTGCTGTAGATGATCAGTGTCCCTGTGCGTATCAGCACCATCCTCACCACTGCAGGGTCAGGACTGTCACAAAGTGCTGTCCCTGGACACACAAGGCTGCAGCCCACCGCGTGTCACACCCATCCCTGACCCTTCCTGGCCTTCTGCTGCTCTCAAGCTCCCAGGGCTGGGCCATGTCCTCAGTGCCCACCCAAGCAAGGTTCTTCTCTGACGCCAAGACTGGAAAGCTGATATGCGTCCTTCACACCTTGCAGAGGAAGAGCTGCTCTTGGGCAGCGAGGAGTAACAGCCCCACTTCCTTACTTCATGGGGAAGGCCCAGGCTTGTCCAGGAGGGATCTCATCTGCCTTCTTCCCAGAGACCACTGGCCTCGAGCACCACAACCATGGCATGTGCCTAAAGCCAGGGGCCACAGTAATGGGTGAAGCCCAAGTGTAGGGTGCCCTCCAAATGCAGGCAGGGACCTGGATGTGTCACACACCTGCCCCATTACAGAGGAGCCTCTTGTGGAGGAGATTCGGAGGAGGCTGTGCCGCACAGCATCTCCAGGCCCTGCCCACAGAGCACACAGTAGTACCGCAGCTCACCCCCAGCATCCACCACCTCCCAGCAGTCCAGCTCGGCTAGGTCAGGCACATGGAAGAAGGTGGTGCTGAGGGGCACCAGCCCGCTTGGGCTGCGCTTCCACAGTGTCAGGCGCTGGTCCACTGAGGCGGAGAGCAGCAGGTCTGGCCGCAGCACCCGGATCCCCGTCACGTGGGCAGCGTGGGCGCAGGGCCTGGACACCCGCTCCAGGACCTGCAGGCAGGTTCCTGCCATGGCCTCATCCCTGCCCAGGGATACCTCCAGCAGGCAGACATGGATGGAGCCATCATCACTGCCACTGGCCACCAGGTACTGTCCCTCGGGTGTCTCACGGATGTGAAGGCTGTTCACGCCACAGCTGTGGGCCATGATGGTGACCAGCGGGGCGCCCAGGCCTGGGTAAACAGGCTCGGTCAGGAGAGCAACGCTCATCTTGGTCAGAGGGAGCAGAAGAGCTGGGGGGCAGCAGCACTCACCCAAGGGCTGCATCTCTCCCTCTGCTTGGTGCAGGGCATCTGCTGCATCCATGATGGGGCCGGTGATGTCCCAAAAGGCAATGCTGCCATCAGTGGCTGCACTGCACAGGAGGTGCCTCCTAGAACAGGGAATGTAGAGGGAGTCTCTGGCTGCAGCCCTGAGGGTCCCCACTGATATCTGTGGAAGTGGCAGAACAGCCCCCTGGGATTAACTTCTCCCTTCCCTCTGCCTGCTGAGCTGCCATCCCTTCAAGGACAGACATTTCTCTCCAGAGCCCATCGACTGCAGCCCAGCATTTGGGGCTCACCTCTCCCCTCCTGCCCATGTGTGCAGGAACGCTTCCACCTTCAGCACACAGCGCTGGTGGTGAAATGATTCTGCCACCAGCACCAACTTCCGAGCAGCCTCCAGCAGCCCAAAGATCCTGTAATGGAGCAGAGAGCAGTTGGCTGTGGGAGAGTAGGAGCTTCTGGCTCCACTGCCCCATTTCCCACCATGCACTGTCTTATGGCCAGTTCAGAGGAGGCCACGTCCCATAGCAGCAGCCTCTTGTTTTGAGCCTGCTCTGCTGCCATCACCGGTTCCATTCTCCCTGTCAGGCCCCATGATGGCTCCTCACCGGACTGATGCATCACTGCAGGCAGCAGCCAGGAATTTCCAGGGTGTTGGCAACTGCTTGGTGCTCGTCCCAGGCACAACTGACAGGGACATGTACCTACAGCAAAGACACAACATTCACCAACACCTCTGTGGGGCTGGCCCAGGAGAGTAGCCCTGAGCCTTTCCCTAACACCAAAAGCCCCTTGAGGCCCACAGGGCACTGGCCCACAGGCCAGGAATCACGCCAGGAATCACAAATGAAGCCACACTGGCCCTCTCTGTCTCAGCTGAACCTGCAGCTGTACAGAGCAGATATTCCAGTGGAGGCCTGTGCAATGCCCAACACCCTCCCACACTGTGATCACTACTAATTCTGCCTTGGGCAGTCCCTGATCATCACCTTGTCTCTGGGTCCATCTTGACAAGCTTGTGCCTGTTCTTCTTCTGCTCCCAGTGCTTGTCCAGCCGGTGGGAAGCCACGTGGATGACCTGGCAGGCCACAGCACTCTCAGTTGCTGTGTCCCCGGTGCACAGCAGCCTGTAGCACTCAATCTGTGCACGGCCGCCTGCAGAGAAGAGCAGGGCAGACAAGCCCTCATCACCAAAGCTCTCATCTCCAGGTCCCATGGCAAATGCCAACGTCCTCACACTGGAAATGTGGTCACTGAGGCGGGCAAGGGGCACAGCTGCCCGAGAGTTCTCACTGAGCACCAGGACACAGGTCGTGGTGTCCTCACTGCCGGTGACAAACACGTTAATGGTGGCACGGCCAGGCACCTCCAGTGCCCCCAGGCGCCGCACACAGGTGATCTCCCGCCCGTGCAGGGATGGCAGCAGCACTTGCTGCTCACGGGGCTTGGCCTCACGGTGGTACAGCATCACATCCCCAGACTTGATAAAGGCAAACACCTCGGCCAAGGGGCTGCTGCAGTAGCTCCAGGAGCGGTGCCCACCCCCGCAGGGGATGCAGTGGATGTTCTCGCCAGTCCTGCTGCTCCACACCACGAAGTTGTCAGCGTGAAAGCCCAGCACAAGCAGGTCCCCATCCGAGGTGAAGTGCAGCTCCTCAATCCATTGCAGCCCTTTGCAGGGCCTGTGCTTCTGCAGGACCTCCAGCTGCTGGTCCCGCAGGCGGAGCTGGCGGTAGACACCATCCCGGCCCGTGCTGTAAATGTAGCCCCTGTGGATGGTCACTGAGGTAACTCCTGTCTTCCCGTGGAGTCCAAAGAGCACTGACAGTGGAGACTCAAGAGGAAGAGCCCCTTTGTGCAACAAACAAGAGGGCTCCAACTCATTGCTGGAGTCCTCAACAACGGGGTCAGTGCCACCATTGACAATGCTGGTGCTTTCTGCAGCCCGCTCCAAGGAGCTGCTGCAAGAGAAGAGGAGGAGGGAGCCCCGGCGGTCCCCACAGACCAGGAGCCCTTTCTGGGGCAAGAAGGCAGCACAGGTGTGCCAGCGCTGCTTGCAGGGGGGCAGCAGGTACCGACCCATGAGCTGCACCCAGGGGGCCTGCCCGGGGCGGTGGGTGACATCCAACCAGAGCATCTCCCCGCCGGGACCGGAGGCCAGGAGAGCAACAGCGGTGTCGGGGGACAGCCCGGGACGGGGGGCCCAGCTCAGCCCGTGCACGGCCCCCTCGAACAGCGTGAGCTTGGCGGCGGTACCGGGGCGGCTCAAGGCGAAAACGAGGAGGCGCCCGTCGCCGCCGGCCACGGCGCAGAGCGTCTCGTCCCATCCATCCAGCGCGGTGGCCGCCAGCAGGGCGCGGGGCCCGCTGGCGGCGGGGTGCAGCACCGGCGTCCAGCGCCCCTGAGCCACCTCGAATGCCGCCAGCCCGCCCGCCTCGCCCAGCACCAGCACCCGCCGCGGCCCCACTAGCAGCACGGCCCGCGGACGCTCCCGGGACCCCAGCGCCGCAACGGCGGGGACCGCCCCCGCGGCCTCCCGCCGGGGCTGCCAGAGTCGGACGCCGCCGTCGTCGCCGCCCGTGGCCACGCGGCCGCCAGCGGGGCGCAGGGCCAGGGCGCGCAGGGCCCCGCGGTGCCCGCGCCGCGCCCGCCGCACGCCGCCGCCGCCGCCCCACTCCAGGCAGGCGCCGTCCTCCCCGGCGCTGACCGGGAGCGGCCCCCGCAGCACCACGGCGGCCACTCGCCCCCCGTGCCCGTAGCACACCAGCAGGCAGGCGCCGGCCCCGTCCCCGCCGCCCAACTCGCCCACGGCCCATAGCCGCACGCTGCGGTCTTCGGAGGCGGAGGCGAGCAGACCCCGCGACGCCGCGTAGCAGAGCGCCAGCACCGCGCCCTGGTGCCCGCGCAGCTGACGCTGCGGGGCCTTCGCCGCCGCCGCCCGCCACACCACCACGTCCCCCGTCGCCGTGCCGGCCGCCAGCGCCAGCCGCCCCCAGCTGACCCCCGCCAGCACGGCGCAGCGCAGCGCCCCGGCCCCGCCACAGCTCGCCTGCCGCAGCCAGCGCCCGCCGCCCCACCACTCGTAGAGCGCCACGGTCCCGCCGCCCAGCGCCAGCGCCAGCCGCCTGCCCGCCGCCCAGCGCGCCTCCCACACCCGCGCCCGGAGCTCCCGCGCGGCCCCGCCGCCGCACGCCGCCAGCAGCGGCCCGCCGCCCGCTCCGCCGCGCCGCACCGCCAGCACTGCCAGCCAGCGCCCACCGAACACCGCTACTCGCGCCGCCGGCCCGGGCCCCGGCTCGGCCCGCAGCCCCTGCACGGTGGCCTCACGCAGCACGCTCCGCCGGCCCGCCGCCGCCGCCGGCCCGCCGCCGCTCAGCCGGAACGCCACCACCTCCGGGCCTGTACCTGCGGGACACCGCGTCAGCCGCCGCCGCTGGCCCCGCCGCCCCCCCTCCCGTTCCGGTGCAAGCACTCACCCGCCAGCAGCGCGTCCCCCACGAACTCCAGCGCTGTCACCGGCGCCACCAGAGCCACCGACTCCATCTTAGCCACACCGGCCCCGCCGCCGCTCCCCCGGGCGCTCATTGGCCGAGTCCCACGTGCCACCGCCCCGCCCCCGCCCATTGGCCGGCCCCGCCCCGAGCACGCGCACGCGGCGCCCGTGTCTCCACGCTTTATTGGCGCGCGACGCGGCCACGCCGCGCGCTCGGCCCGCGCGGGAAACGGCGGCGCGCACGCGGGCGGCACTCCCGGCGCTACAGCTCCAGGTGCAC